CAGTTTGGGACACTCTGAACAGTACATTTGTATAGTGCACGAAGTCAACTATGACGGCAGGTCAAGGCGGGGGTTTAGACCTTGTGACTGGGGGGATGTGGGCTGGAACAGTGGCCCCACATCCTGGGGTTACCAACCACCGCAGGCCCTGAGATACAGAAGTAAGGGAAAGACTTTATTGGATCGACTCTCTATTTATAAAGGTGAAGCCCCAGCAGCAGATTGTACTACCGCAAAATGTATTCCTTTGTACATAACACTCCAGGACCCCAGTCCGGGTGACAGTGAAAGTGTATTTATCCTGGGGGCTCATGTGACCCTTTAGGGAGATTTAGAATCATTGTAAGAACGAATTCGATTCAGAATCATGATGGCTCTTATAAATATGTTTCACGCCACTCTCCTCCCACCAATCTGGAAAGAAAATTGGAGATAGACAGGGTTTACTCAGAAGAATGTTTGGCTTGACTGGGTTCGAAATGCAGCAGAGGAGGCGTCAGTTAACGCCTCCTGTGTTGTATGTGCTGGACCTCGTCCTGCCCTGTTAACTGTACCTTCTCTCCTCTCAGATCCAAAACACACATACTGCATGCTTGAGCTGCACATGACTGAAAATCCAAAAACACCTGCATGCAGAGAATTGGAACATTATTACCCATTGGCACCTAAGGACGCCGTTCCTCCTATTTTTACTGCTGTAAAAAACAACTACACTTGTGTGACTAGGATTAAGGACACTGGAACTACTGTAGGTAACATCCCTCCTGATTGGTGTAACGTCACACATAATCTCACAACATGGGAAAATGCAACACGTCTGACCTATGCCAGGTCTGATGTGTTTTGGTACTGTGGCGGTAAGAGATTACTTAATACTCTTCCTCCTGATTGGACTGGTACCTGCACCATGATTTCACTTATAGTTCCAGTAACAGTAGTTGAAGCTGCAGTCTCTGACATTGAATCAGGCTTTGGTCATCCCCTTAAGGGACACAGGATCAAGCGGGACACCCTTGTTTGATCCAGTCAGATTGTCACCCATGTACATTGATGCAATTGGTGTTCCCCGCGGCGTCCCAAATGAGTACAAGTTAGTAGATCAAGTGGCAGCAGGCTTTGAGTCTGCTCTTTTCTGGTGGGTGACCATAAACAAAAATGTAGATTGCATAAACTATGTTCATTTCAATGTTCAGCGTCTCACTAACTTCACTAGAGATTTGGCTTTTGGCTTTCAGGAACAATTGGCAGCTACATCTATTATGTCATACCAGAACAGACTGGCTTTAGACTTTGTTTTGGCTGAAAAAGGGGGCGTTTGTACTATGATTGGACAACAATGTTGCACCTACA